AGAGAGAGAGAGAGAGAGAGAGAGAGCTGAGGCAGGCAGAGGCGATGCGGCGGGCTGTTGAATTGTCAGCACATCAATTACACACACACACACACACACACACACACACAAGCACCTGAGCATCTGACAAAACAATAGCAGCGGGAGACTGAAGAGTGTGGGCGTGGCTGTGCTAAGGGCGTGGGCGTGGAGGTAAACAGTGTGTGGGCGTGTTAACAAGGGGTTATGAGGACCAGAGGCGAGCCATCAAGCCCGCCGCAGTCAGCTCTCCCGCCCCCACCACGCCCACTACACCGCGCCCTCTTAATCTGTACTCCAGGGCCAAGTATCACTGCGCTTCTCAAGGCCCTGAAGAACCCAACTCTTGAGAGCCAAGCATCACTGCTTTAGCGCCCCAGCAGAGGAACGCTTAAGGGTTGAGCTAATATATAACTCTGAGAGCCTTACGAGTTCTTAAGCAGGTGGGCGAATCACTCAGTCGAGGAGCCGAAAGTAAGAATCTTGTCGGGTCATCCTCAAAAGAGCTGATAACCTCGAGTGATGGCCCAGTTATGTGTACAGTTTGATGGCGAGTGAAAATAAATAACTTACTCCGTTTTCTACTCTGTGTACCAACTGTCCTGGCCACGAGCACTGTTGTTTATTGATCAGAGATAGTGTATGTGTACGGGTGTTATTTGGTTGTTTGTTTACCTGTATGTGCATCTTTACCTCTGTGTTTTTCCCAGGTACCTGTATCTACCTGTACTTGTATAATCAACTTGTAATTATCTATACCTGCTGCAAAACCCAACATTTATAGGCCTACAGTTGACCACTATAGGCAGACCATCTTAATGTCTTCCAGTATTTAGGAATTCTATCTACGTGATGGCCAGAGTTAAGACGTCTTAAGTCATCGACACACAAGACGAACACCTGCTGTAGTAACCTCAAGAGAGCACCTTGGAGCACTTAACGTGAACAAAAGGTTAATGATATTTTGTTTAAATATTCATAATGAATCATAAATCATATGATAGTAGTGAGGATAATAATAATAATAATAATAATAATAATAATAATAATAATAATAATAATAATAATAATAATCATAATAAACCAACGAAAAGTAAACTAAGAAGAATGAATGAAATGTGAAAGAACTCATAATTATAATAGAAAAAACTAAGGATAATTTGAAAGCAGTCTGAATGAACAGTGAATGAAATAAAGTGACTGCATAACGATCGAATTTGTGGTCAATATTTTGGTTCTTCAGGAATGTGTTTCTTATCGATAATTCCTTTGTGTCTGAGTCGTTGATGGTGACGCAATGTTTTGATATTATATTGGGAGAGAGAGAGAGAGAGAGAGAGAGAGAGAGAGAGAGAGAGAGAGAGTAGCTGCTTGGTCCGCTCGTCGCCCCCCCACCTCGATAATTTAACCCGGATCAAGTTACACGAGAAACTTGTTACCTCGACGGATATGTGACCCCGGCCATTATACCCCGGTGCTGCTATGTGCCTGACACCCTCCACAGCCTCGTACGATTCCCTATTGTCGTAGATTTCTTAAAGGTTCGTAAGTTAAGTTTCCCTCACCACGATCTGGAAGTATAGGATAAGAAGTCACAACCTAACCTAACCTAACCTAACCTAACCTAACCTAACCTAAGCTAACCTAACCTAACCTAACCTAACCTATGTTCCTTCAAGAATCCATCGTTATACCGTAGTTTAAATGAGTCAATTTGATATCCAGGTTAGGATTAATTAAACATTGAGAATTGGAGCTGTGGATGAACTAAGGTGAATTGGATGGATAATATCGGATCGTTTATCTCACAGACAGACAGACAGACAGACAGACAGCTCAGGTGGATAATTTATTTTTTTTCTTTGGTTTTACTTTCACTATCTTACGAGTGTTTCAGTTTGTCAATGAGGGTGGACAAGGTGTAGTAAATTAGATAACTGAAGAGAGAGAGAGAGAGAGAGAGAGAGAGAGAGAGAGAGAGAGGACAGGAACCCGTGTACAGAAACATAGAAACTGTATCACTCAGTACCAAGACGACAACCACAGAGAAGGAAAGAAAACGACAGAGAGAGAGAGAGACACAGACAGTCAAACATACAAAGAAATAGATTAGCAGACAGATAAGCCGACAGATATACAAACAGAAAAGACCAGCAGCAATAGGGAAAAAGATGACCTCAGTACCCCACACCTTCGTCATCCCCGTCGGCATTACAAACACCTCCGTCGCCGCCACCGCCTGTATCTGAATACACCGCCGTACTCATCACACACCTGCCTTTACTATATGCTGGTTCCTATATATTACAGAGATTAATGGTAGCAATAGTTGTAGACGCACACGAAGTAAAAAATAAAATAAAATCTAATGAGAATAACTAAGTTGCTTTTAGGACGGTGTTGCGGTGTCAGTGTTGTCCCAAACTTATTTCTGATCTCTGAAGGCGGAAGGCAGATACATCTCTCATTCTGGATCATCATATTGATATAAAATCGAGAAATGAATGGTGTTAGGGGGTATACTTTCGTCCTGCATGGCGGCTCTACAAAAAAACAACAAGAGATTAATAACGACGGCCACAAACACTCTGACGGCTACCATAACAATCCCAATGACTACATAAAATCAGCTGAAACACATCTTCTTTATTTTGTATTTTACGTCTGTGTGAGTGTCTTGTCACAGGTAAATATAATTAACTTTGAAACTCAGGGAAACAAAATATAACTACACTATGTCCTGGTCGAAAAAAAAAAAACCATATTGGTAAAGTAAATGACAACTGCCTCGGTATATGATGATGTTGAATACACTCGTAAACAAACACTTGAGAGTAAACACTTGTTGAAAAAGTTCGATTTATGATGATGCTTGAGGGTATTGATCCTAGGCGTACCCCGACAGTAACACACGGTCAATAAAACTTCTATAATACCGCTGTCTTTATAGTGACGGTAACAAATGATTGTACCATAAATATATATCATCCTTCAGTAAGTATGCACACCTGTTCTAAGTATACACACCTGTTCTGTGGATTTTCCTCCACCTGTACAATGCATACTTATTTTTTCTACCGTAAACAACTACATTATTGTGAAATTGAAACAAAACTATAGATTCAAATAAAAACGATGATGGATTTCTGAGTTTGTGTAGACTGTAGAGGCTAACACACACACACACACATAGATGTATTCGTAAGGAGTTGTATAAGTAAACGAAATTAGGTCGACTACAACAACAATATATAACGAAAGACGAGTGAAGGTTTGTCTTGTTACGTCACATAAACAATCAGATCCACCAATAGCTAAAGGGAAGGTAAAACTAGTACGCGTATACAGCAACAGGAGTTAATTAATAAGTTACAGATGATTGACTATTGACAGGTACTATTTCTAGGAGGCATAGGTATAAACGGAATTTATTTCGATAGTAAAGTAGGTATAGGCCTTACAATACCCCTCCCCCCCCCCTTCCTATAAACACTATTACTTAAAATAAATCGAATTAACAGAATAATTAAATTAATAAAGACGGACAAATTATAAATACTTACCTAATAATATACACTACATAATATACATGTAAAGTTGATGAAGGGGTTACAGGTGTATAGATAGACAGGTGTTTCTTTGTGAGGATAAATCAACAGGTGTTACAGGTGTGCCATTACCTTAAATGTCAAAAAGAGAAACAGGGAAGAGATTTAGTGTCTATTGTAATTCAGGTTATGAGTATTGTGTACATGTGTAGTGGTGGAATAAACGTAAAGATGAGACAACCATGAAGTGTGTGTGTGTAGTGTGTGTGTGTGTAGTGTGTGTGTGTAGTGTGTGTGTGTAGTGTGTGTGTGTATGTGTATGTGTGTGTGTGTGTGTGTTACCAGAAGTGATTGTTAGGAGTATCCGTATTTGCATAGAATTACATACTTTACACCTGTCTGTTTCTCTACCAAGTATACAGTGCCACGGCTAAGCCCTCTTGTTACACCTGTCTTACCTGTGTCACATGTATAAAACACACACACTACACACACACACTACACACTACACACACTACACACACACACACACACTACACACACACACACACACACTACACCTCCCTCATAATCTTAGTCCGGATGCTTTAGCTGTATACATCCAGTCTGCGCCATAATAAAGCTCGTTAAATGAACTGCAGGGTGAAAAGGAAACACTCTGTCTCGTTGATAACTATTATACTATACAAGGTCTCTGGTAATTGTCTCTGTCTGTCTGTCTGTCTGTTTATCTCTCTGTCTGTCTCCCTGTCTATATGTTTGTCTGTCTGTCTCTCTGTCTGTCTGTTTATCTCTCTGTCTGTCTCTCTGTCTATATGTTTGTATGTCTGTCTCTCTGTCTGTCTGTCTCCCTGTCTATATATTTGTCTGTCTGTCTCTGTCTGTCTGTTTATCTCTCTGTCTGTCTGTCTGTCTCTCCTTTTATATGGTTGTCTGTCTGTCTATCTGTCTCCTTTCATTAATCCAAGAATAATCATAAAAATGTAAACTTTAAATCTTCCCTTAATTAAGATATACACCTCGTATATGATCTGCATATAATTTCTATTGCCTATAACTCTAGATTATAAAATGTTGGGTTAATATAATTTGACTCTAATTATTATACACCATGAGGCTTATTAGCAGACGTTGTTTAAAAAAAATAGATCAATTGGTATAAGTTTGTAGTTATTAGTACTGTATCCTGTATCACTGTAATGGCCTATAATTCCCCTGTAAGCTGTACCACTGTAGTAACTTATCATACCCTTACGTCGACTTTCACCAGCATCTATGTTATTTACAAAGGGGGAATATTTTTAGTTATATTATACAGTAAAATCCAACATTATATCTCTCTTCTTAGATAAACAAACCCTGAACTCCATCATGGTAGGTGAACAAACAAACTCTTTACTCCCTCATGATAGGTTAATAGAACAACAGTATAGGTGGAGATAAAACAGTTTATTGTAAAGCATAATTAGGAAATAAAACTCCCTATTTGTAGGGGGTTTTTTTTCCACAATACTGGCACAAAGAATTCAGTGAGAATCTATATACAGCAAATAAAATCTCATTACGTACATTATTTACATATAAATTATTCTGTCTTATTTACAAACATGTACAAGTTATGGCACATATAGGAACTTTGGGAGGACCTTCGTAGCGCTGTGAAGGACGGGAAGAAGAGGAAGGAGGAGAGGAAGAACACATTTAAAAAAAGAAAACAATGATAAATTTTCTGAAGAACAATGAAAAACTTTACAAGTGAGAAACAACAAAAAGAAACACAAGACAACTTTATACAGGTTTAAGCTACAGTGATTTTCTTTAAGATGAAATGTTGATGAAATACAGTTTTTATTTTGATGGTTGTATGTATGTGTGTGTGTGTGTATGAAGGGAACAACAGATGAATATCATCCACGTAATACAAAAAGCTAATAAAGGAAGCCATTGTGATATTTCAATCAATGAAGAAAATATACATATAGACTGAAATTAATAAATAACATGGAAATATTGTTAACAGTCTATTAAATAGTTAAGCGGATATGATCTATGGAGAGGGGGACTCACACTCATTGTACTTTCACAAAAAAATATGGACAAAATACTCGACCATCTCCTTCAGATACTGAAGTTATAACTTAAAGATCGCCAAGGTGAATCTCTATCGTGATTATCCTCATCTATCTGAGTATATTTGAATATACCAGAAGATCGCTGGAAGGTATATACTAAATCGAATTTTCCAGACAGGCGCGTTAGATCGGCTCACAGACACAACCCGATATTTCTTGGAAACTCGGCCTGACGTAAGCGGAATGACGTGAGGGGGTCTCTTGGAGCGCAGGGTGGAGGTGGTGGTGTAGGAGGGAGGCGTGGAGGTGCAGGGTGGAGGTGGTGGTGTAGGAAGGGGGCGTGGAAGGCGTGGAGGTGCAGGGTGGAGTTGGTGGCGTAGGAGTGTCGATTTCGGAGGAGCAGGATGGAGGAGGAAGAGGCTTCGAGCAGGAGGCGATTGGGGGGGGAGGGGCAGGAAGATCACCGAGATGTGCGACTCCCATCCTCCTCCTGACTGTCTGAGGTGAAGTCGAGGAGGAGGAGGAAGAGTAGGTGGACGCCGCAAGAGAGACGGAGGAAGACGTGTCGGAAGGGATCAAGGGGGATGCGACTAGTGGGTTTCGGCCTCGTTCTCGACGTCGAGCTCTTCGTCCTCTTCATGCTCGAGGACCAGACCTTCCTCCTCGCTCTGTTTATCCTCACTCTTCCTCTCTCCTCCCTCGCCGCCCTCGTCCTCCTGCTGCTGTCGTTTGTGTTTGGTTCTTCTGTTCTGGAACCAAACTTTAACCTGAAGAAGAAAAGAAATCACGGTCAATATGGTTCCGTTTCTTTTGCCGCGTGTCAATCAATAATTTTACACACAAAAGTTACAACAAAGTAATATTCACAACGTAACACCAAACTCTTCAGGGAAATCAGATACAAGAATATATACACTAAAAAGACGAATCTCAGAAGAAAGACAAACACTAAGAAAAGACGTATGAATATTACATTACTAAAACAACATATCATGTGTAGCCACCGCCCCAGCAGCACGCCCCGACGCACGACGAGAGGGAGAGAGAGAGAGAGAGAGAGAGAGAGAGAGAGAGAGAGAGAGAGAGAGAGAGAGAGCCCCTGTCCCTGCACGTCCGGATATAGTATGTTACAAGATAGGATGGATAGGCAGCTAGTGGAATGGGGGGTGGGGAAAGAAGAGTCCTACATCAGCTCGACTAACCTACACAGCGCCTCCTTCCAATCCTTGAGTAGAACTGATCACTTACAATACATCGTCTCAAGGTGAGGTTACATTAAGTGTTGTCACGACTCAGAAAACGAGTGAAATTGAGAACGAAGGGAAATGGATAGATTGAGAGAGGGAAGGTTGATAGGAGATGGAAACATGTAATTAATAACAGAAGAAAATTGATTTTAAAATTAGAAAAAAAAATAGCGATTCTTGATTTTCTATAATAAATTTCTTCTCCTAAAAGTTCTCAAGTGAGTGAGCGAGTGCTGTTGAAAGTGAGAGTAATCAACCAGTACCACCAGTGTTAGGTCAGTGAGTTAGAAGTACCAAGGGCGAGTGCTTTCAGTATTGCCCAAACCAAGTCAACCAGCACTATCAGATGAATAAATGAATCCCAATAGCCACGTCCCTCCACTCCCTCCCTCCTTCACCATTTTCCCTCCTTCAAATTCCCTTCTGATTCCTTCTCTCACCCTCCTCCCTCTCTTCTCAGACCCCTCCTTTCCTCCTCCTAGTTCCGCCCGGCCGACCAATAGTCTTACGTCAACCGATTAAACCGATTTTACGCACAATTACCCCCTGTTGTCGGTAATATGTTAGTTTACGGCGGCCGGGGTGGGTGGAGGGCGGGCGGGCGGGTGGGCGGGCGGGCGTGAAGACATGGATGGGTGGAGGAGGTGGTGAGAGGAGATTAGGTGGAGGGCGGGGTGGATGGAGGGTGGGAGGAGAGAAAAGGTGGTGGTGGGGGTGGAACAGGGGTGACGTGTGATGTGGTGAGAATGGGTGGAGGATATGGGCGGATTGACGGGAGTGGGTGGAGGCGCAAGGTACAAGGGTGGAAAGAAGGACAGAGAGGGAGAGAAGGAAGGTATCGGGAAGAAAACAAAGAAACTAAGTGAAAATTCGAAGGAAAAATAATTATAGGAATTACTTTTATTATCAAGATCACTAATTTAATTTCTCGGATATTTCACGACGTTTAAGAAATAAAATCGCAAGATTGTAAAATTCGTCAAAAAAATATACCATATATATCATCCGCTAAAATATTGACATAAATCGCCAAAATATCTAAATATGCGCCAATAAATACATATATCTCGCCAAAAATCATACAAAATTCATATAAAAATATATACCTTTCGCCAAATATATTAATAATTCGCCAAACTCCCTCCAAATAACCAATTACCAAATATACACTCACACGCAGAATATCACAGACACTTGTAATTGGCTCCTTTAGTGACCAGATTACACCAATTCGCCTCTATTTCACCCTGAAAATTGCTTTCATTCTTGCCTCTAAGGGCGCTGTTCCCCACGCCAGCCAGCCAGACCTCAGGGCCGCTATGATATGGTCCGCTGCCTCCCCGCCGCCTCACCCACCAACGCCGCGTGGAGGGGACGTGTAGCAGGGCATAGGGAGGAGAGAAGAAGGAGTGAGGCATGAGGAGATAGGGAAGGGTGAGGAGAAGGGTGGATAAAGGGAGAGGAAAAGAGTGATGATGGAGAGGATAAGGGGAGTAAAGAAGGGATGAGGATGGGAGGAATAGTGGGAAGAGAAAGAGGAGAGAGATGGGATAAAGGAGTCCAGAGAGAGAGAATATAACAATAACAACAACAACAACAATATTTATACACTACAAACAAACAAACACTGACGACAGTATACTATAAATATCACTAAGTTAAATCACCTACAAAAATAAATATTACACCTCAAACATATTGGCTTTATTCCTTTACCAAGAATAATTAGTATTAATTTCGCTATTTTTTTTAATCCGTGAAATTAAATCGTCCGCTATCAGTCATATATAACATAATGGAGATATAGTTGATATATTTAACGACGGTCGTGGTAAAATCAGGGCTTGTAATTATATATCCGATGTATTATGTGTAATGTATTCTGGAGATGTCGGTATTGTAATCAAGATAAATCCCAACAAAAGCAAATATTTTATTAGTTATTGTTTCTATTAATATTCTATTGTCATATCAATATTTGTAGAATATATTACAATATTATATATCGAACAGTATACTGTGAACCCCGGAAATATGATAATGGGAAAGAAAAATGGAATATTTGTTGGAATATTAATGTAATAATATTAATAATAATAATAATAATATACTAATAATAAATAATATAATAATAAAAATAATAATAATAATAATAATAATAATAATAATAATAATAGCATCTAAATAACACATTATCAAGTGTTTTACATTAACAATATGAATAATAGTAACAAGCGCATATTAACGACTCACTATTTAAATTATTTTATGTTATTATCGACAAAAAAACGTTATATTCTCCGGACAAAGACGTAACAGATAACTAAATATAGCGTTTTCATAGATCAAGTGTAATACTGTGAGACTGACGAAGGTAAAAATGCTCTGACGACACAACGTAAATCGTGTGTTGTACTGACGAAGGGAAGAGGAAAAGGCCTGGGAGAGGCAGAGAGGGAGGTTAGTGCGTCTCTTCCCCCAGCGAGGGGTCGGTCACATGGGACAAGGCTCACTAACCACGGCTAAATAGCAGAGTGACGCAGGCTGCTTGATTTTATTACCCAAAGAGTAAGGTCAGGAAATGTGATTTTTCCGTCTCGTGATTTCGTCAGAATACCCCGCCGCCCTTCCTGGTCTGGTGAGATGGATGACAACCTCCCCGGCGTCCCGGCTTTTGGTAAACATATTCCGTATAGGGATTTTTAAGGACAGCTTGACCGATGTACTCAAGTGGGACCTTCAGCACAGGTAATCCACGACACGGGAAAAATTAAAAAAAAATATTGTAGTTGATAAGATAAAACTTTAAGGTAGATATGACGAAAGTGACGCCGCCCAATGTTTGTTCATCTCTCAGATATACGGCGAGCAATATGGAGTTCGGAAGGTTTATGGATTACCAGTTTCCACCCTCCATGTTAAGTGAGGGGGAACCTGAGGGGCCGATGGGAAGGTCTGGGTTGAGAGGGAGGACCTGTTAAAGAGTTGGGAAGGGTGTGTGGGCGTAGGCTGCATAGGGGCGGTCGGGGGTGAAATTAAACGAAAGGATAAGACGAGCGGTCAACACAAATTAGTGGGTGAACAGTGTGAGAACCTGAGGTGGGTGATGTTGTCTGGCCACGCTCACCCCACCACTATAATCACAACAGTTTATGAACCGATAGCAGAAATTAGCGCTGCATAATTTCAATGACAATTAAATCGGAGTCAAGATAAACACAGCAAATAAGTTTGGGTAAAGGTAGACTACTCAACGGGTGTCCATCTTAGAAAAGTTACCAAATGTTTCACCTTTGATCTTGAAACACAACAAACAACAGCTGTATAAGGTATTGCCTGAGGGGATATAGAGGAAATAGTAAACATTATAAGGAGTTTAATTACCTGTGTTTCAGAGAGGTTGAGGGTCTGGGCCAGCTGTTTCCTCTCGGCTCCCACCACATACTGGTTCTTCTCAAACGCTTGTTCAAGTTTCAGCAGCTGACTCGGGCTGAACGCCGTCCGGATCCTCTTGGGCTTCCTGAAGGGCAACAGGAAGGTGGGGAAGTCGTGGCCTGTAGAACAAGCACACTAGTCAACATCACACACATTTCAGGTCCAGCGTGTCAGCTATCTGCTTACAATATTTTACTTTTAATATTAGATTCTTCTATAAAACCTTTTGTAAAATGTTCACCTAGCTGCTCCAGCACAATAACCATAGTAGATATTTGCGGAACTTTTATTACTTCAATTGAACTAAATAAAGACAAAATGTTTCAGTGTTCAACCTACTGTTGACCATCAAAGTGAACGTCTGGTGAACTGTGAACTAATATAAACATGATGAAAGGTATCGCTCAGGACAGTGGAGGGACACTTACCGCCGGGGAATCCTGGAGGGAAGATCCTGCCGTGGCGTGGGGAGAGGAGCCAGGGGTAGAGTGGGTAGTCTCGCGGGGAAGGGGGCAGTGGCGTCCCCAGCTGAGGAACCTGCCCTTGTGCCAGTAACGGGTGGGGCATGAGGGGTGCGGGCAGGTGTGGCATGGTGTGGCCGCCCAGGGACAGCAGGTGAGGGGGCAGATGAACACCAGACCCCTGCAGGAAGCTTGGGGGTGGTAGAGACACTGGACTGGTGAGCGGTGATGACTCCTTCTTGTCCTCGTCCACTTGAGTGTTGGGAGAGTGTGCTCTCACTGGTGATGTGAGAGGTGAGGGAGGCTGGTAAGGCTCCTGCCGCGCCTGCTGCACACGGAAGAGCTGTTCTTTCAAAAGCTGATCCCGAAGCTGCTCGCGAAGCTGTTGTTCTCGGACGAGAAGAAACTCCCGCGGGAGAGCGAGGCTCCCAACCTCCCGCGGCGAGTGGTGCGGCGGCGACTCCGGCAGCTTCGTGAAGCCCGGCGCGGGCGGGGACGCTGATCTGCGCTTCTCATCTCCACAACCCACCAGAGACTCTATGGAGAAACCGAGACGTGGGCGTGTTGGCACCACGGGCGTAGGCGCTTGTGGCATCATCAAGTCTAATGACACTAAGTGTTCTCAATAAAGTGTATAGAACACGACACACTTCCTACAAGCACGCACTCTGACAACAAGTGTTGTTCTGTCTTCCTCCACACAGAAAAGCCACCAGCTAAAGAGGTCACAGGATAACGCGTTTCCTGAGCTCAGCACGCGAAGAGTTCATGTGGACTTATACGGCAAGTTGGAACTGTTCTACTCCTTTTACGTTGTTCTGTCTGTTCTTATCGCCATTATGAGCCAGCGTGGTCAATGATTGGTCAATTAGCACCCGCTTGTCTGTTATTGCTTTTAATGGCGAGATCTCATTGGTCCGCTGTACAGCTAAGCTCCGCCTCCACAAACTAGGGTGCCAAGGAATCGAAATAATATGAGATTTAAAGAACATATTTCACAACCCAATATTTTACAGTTGACGCCTAAACCACTATAAACATTGATTATGTAGATCCAAAAATAAACAAAACTTAAGTACATCCAAAAACTTTATAGAAAAGCTTAATTTTATCCTAACAAAAGGAATGTGAAACACACAGGCGGATGCCACTCCGGTCTCAACAGTTCCAGCCCACTGACTCTGCGCGCCATCTCATGCCAAGTATGAGAACCTCAACTGGGCTTAGCGCCGAACTGACAGTTTCGAGTATCTCTATGACTTTTTCTTATCCTTTCGCTCTCACTGAAAATGTTCTTGTAGGGAACATAAACATGGAAGGTACTGACTAAAGTCTCTACCGGTCTAAATATAACAGTCAATGATAAAACTCTCATCACACAGTTTTACCAGTCACCACACACTGCATCAGACACTTCCAAACAACAGCCTTCACCCACATCACTGACTACATCTGACATTCTAATCACTATTCTGAAACGCTGAACTTGAGTGAAAGAATCAATGTTGTTAATAAGAGAACAATAGACCATAAATTGCTACTCATCTCAGAAATTACAAAAGACATTATCTCTCCCGTAGAAGGAATGAGAGGTCCAGTTGCTGAGTGGTGGTCGACTAGGGACACTCTCGCGACCTCTACCACACGGGGGCGCTGACGAAGGGCTACATGTAACCTCAGGTATGGAACTAGAGACACGAGTTGCCCTGAAAATGTGTTGTGTTGAATAATGTTTACCTGGAAGATGTGTAGTGATGAATAATGTTGCCTGGAAGATGTTTAGTGATGAATAATGTTGCCTGGAAGATGTGTAGTGATGAATAATGTTGCCTGGAAAATGTGTAGTGATGAATAATGTTGCCTGGAAGTTGCATACTGATGAATAATGTTGCCTGGAAGATGTTTAGTGATGAATAATGTTGCCTGGAAGATGTATAGTGATGAATAACGTTGCCTGGAAGATATGTAGTGATGAATAATGTTGCCTGGAAGATGTGTAGTGATGAATAATGTTGCCTGGAAGATGTGTAGTGATGAATAATGTTGCCTGGAAAATGTATAGTGATGAATAATGTTACCTGGAAGATGTGTAGTGATGAATAATGTTGCCTGGAAGATGTGTAGTGATGAATAATGTTGCCTGGAAGATGTGTAGTGATGAATAATGTTGCCTGGAAGATGTGTAGTGATGAATAACAAATTCTCTAGGTGATAATCTTCAACACTAAAGCAGCCAGAATAGACTTACCATCCAAAAAATAAACAATGATGATAATAGTGAAGATAACCTAACCTAACCTAACCTAACCTAACCTAACCTAACCTAACCTAACCTAACCTAACCTAACCTAACCGAACCTAACCTAAGATAACACAGTTCTATCATCATATTTCCCACCTATTAGAAAAATAAACAAATTTAATGATTCATATAAGTAACAACAACGTGAGCAATTTTGTAGCATCGTTCACTATCGCTTTAATTCGGCCCAAAAATATAATCTTGGGTGAAAAAAAGAAAAGAAATTTAAGTCTTAAAACAGTGGGTTGGGTTAGGTTAAGTTAAGTTAGTTTTAGTATGGATAGATTGGGTTAGGTTAAGGGTATTTTATGTAAAGTCAAGCTTGGTTAAGTTAGGTTAGCTTAGATTAATTTTAGTATGGTTAGATTAGCTTAAATTAATTTTAGTATGGTTAGATTAGCTTAGATTAATTTAACTATGGTTAGATTAGGTTAGATTAGTTTTAGTATGGTTATTAGCTTAGATTAATTTTAGTATGGTTAGATTAGCTTAAATTAATTTTAGTATGGTTAGATTAGCTTAGATTAATTTAACTATGGTTAGATTAGGTTAGATTAGTTTTAGTATGATTAGATTAGGTTTGGGGACCAGATCAAGAGTACGGACTAAAGAAAGCTATTTATTTTCTTTGAATTTTTGTTATTATATTACTAAAATTAAAATAGGTTTGCTTTTAAAATTTACAAAGGGGAAATTTAGAATACTGTACCAGGATGTATTATTCTCTTCTGTATCGTGTGTGTGTGTGTGTGTGTGTGTGTGTGTGTGTGTGTGTGTGTGTGTGTGTGTGTGTGTGTGTGTGTAATAATTCTTATATATTTTATTCGAAACTTCATAATTGATCTGTATAAATGAACGATCATGTAGATACTCATTATAAAAACTTTAACTAAATAACATCTAACCTAACCTAACCTAACCTAACCTAACCTAACCTAATGTACGCTAAGTTATAATAATAAACAAAAACACAAATTTCCCTGTTGGATATAACTGATAAAAGCCAATTGCGTTTTGAGGTTTGAGAGGACGATTATCCCTAAGTGGTGTGACATATACGACACACACACACACACACACACACACACACACACACACACACACACACACACACACACATTAACATTTGTATTATTCAGTAATCAAGGTTAAAGCAGATGGCCACTATCGTCATATTTACACACACATAATGAGTATGACCACATAGCTTCAGGCCTGACCCACATCAACCCCATGAGCGGAGGGAGGAGGTGATGTTTTGATGGGGCAGGCGTTGGAGGTACAGTAGTCCAGAGCAATTCTCGAGGCATAGAGGATGAAGGGATGGTGGAGAGGGAGAGGGAGAGGAGGGCGGAACACCGTATTCATAGTGTGGTAGTCCCCCGGGTGTTGTAAAGCCATAAAATAATACTTACTCCCTATTGTCAAGCGAATCTCAGCACTTGCAACGGCTCGGCGGGATTAAGCCCGAACCAATCTCTGTTTTGGTAATACTCGCGCATATGGTAAATAGATGGATCGGCGACGAGTACAGCGCTTGTATCGATGTATATAGACACCAAGATCTGTGTGACTTTGTACAACCAGCGGTTTATTGATGGTACAGATAACGAGTAGATTCTAACGTTTGCAGAAGTCAATACGTCTTGAGAGATTACCACACTGAGGGGCTCGAACCTGGAGCCTCGCGACGCCCTGTATTTCAAAGTGGGATATGACAATAGCTAGGGTAAACATCCGGCCTGGTGACCAACGTGGTGAGTTGCTCGGTGCTGTGATTATGACACTGTTTACATGGGTCCTGGCACTCACTCAGGGCCAGAGGGACGATAGGGATATGACTTAAGATATCGTAAATGCTAAATGTGCTCCAGTGTTTACCAGAGTTGTTTTTTTTTTTTTTTAAGATAAATTATGGTTCTTGTTGACCAGCGTGAGTGAGAGAGTTTAAGGGGGGACCTATGTGAATCACTGCTACAGCCACACCGGCCAGATACTCCAGGGATGTTGTACCTACGTAGCTCTACAAGTTTACATCGTATATTAAGTACTTCACCATCACATGTTCTTCCTTCGTACATCAAGTGGTGATACATTATCGTCGAGGAATCATTTTTTTCTTCCCTTTTTGTGAACTCGTAGTTACTTTTAGTATGTCTAGTTTGCTTACAAAATATTGGATTCCGAAATAGATTCATTAATCGTTTTTTGAACCGATTTCCATTTTCACAGCTGCTGCTCCATATACACCTCACGCCCCCGGCCAGCGGTCAACACGTGTCCCCTCCCTCCCTGGTGCGGGCGACCACGACCAAGGATTAAAAGGAGTTGAGGGGCCATGGTCCACAGGCAGCCAGGGACCACGGACCATGACATGAGGAGACGGACCATGTTAAGGGGTTATGGTTAGGGACTATGGACCACGACCAGGGATCACAGCTACGGAAAAGGACCACAGACCACGCTCGAGATCCCCGTCGAGGGACCATGACTCAGAAGACCGAGACCAGAGGGTGAGTTGACCTTCTGCTGCGGCTGGTCCTCCTGCCTTGCCATTGGTGATAATAACAACAATAGCACTACAAAAATAATACAAATATAATAATAATAATAATAATAATAATAACAATAATAATAATAATAATAATAATAATAATAATAATAATAATAATAATACCAGTCCTAGTTCCCGCGCCTCAAAGGTTCCAACATTATCCCCCCCCCACCCCCACCAGCAAGAGATCAGAAAATACGTCTCACCGGCCAGGGACAGAGATAATATACAAATCAGAGCCCTGGACCTAACTTGCTCCTGATGGTGTTATATGTACTTCGTGGTATCAACAGCCAGGGTTCTGTTTACCAAGTTTAATTTTATACACTATACGATAACTTTTGAAATTAGGTAAGATATTCTCGTGTCACTTGTATATATATATCTTCTCTTCCTCTTCCTCCTCCTACTCCTCACCTCTCGTGCCCTCACTTACGCCTCTTGGGGGACGTGATGCCTCATTTTTTAACCAGAAGATGAGCATCAAATTGTAGAGATGAATCGTGTCGGGAGCTTTTAACTTTACAGGCCACACGGGACCAATTTACAGCCTCGAGTCAAGAGAGAGTCACAAACCGTCTGCTCATAAGGTTGAAATACCCCTCGAGTTATCATTGAGAGGAAGGATATATGTGTCACCGCGTTCAGGACCCTTCTTATGGGTAAGGGAGGTGACTGTGGCGAGGTTCTGGGTTATTTTAGCTCCATTGTGGTAGTGTGGTAGATCAGTGTGGTATTCAGAGACAATATACCTGTTCACGATAAGAATAATTTATAGTTTTATGATAATCTAAGCTATGTAATGGATACAGTATACCGTATAATTGTTGGAAATCATTTAGAAAAGAATGTGTTTGTTGGTATTATAAACGTAGTGTCATTTCAGAGTGATGGTTCGTGTACCTATATCACCTGTAATTTACCTGTTCAAC